AAACAAAAGTCTTAAAATTGAATTCACGTGAATCATTATTTTGACGGTTTGAATTTAATACTTGAAAGTCTAGGAAAATTTACAATTCATTTTAGTTGAATTCTTTAAAATTTTTTTGTTATAAAGGGTGATTTTGTAATAATTTGCATTTTTTTTTAATTTAAAGAGAAATTGGAAATTTTTTATATAATTTTATTTGAATAGATTAACGAATGTTTCCTATTAACGCTTCTCAGGTTCGATGTCTGAGTGATAAACTTAAAATTTCTTACTGATTGTATTCTTAATTAATATATGGTAAGTGCTCATAATTTGTAAATGTTGTTCATACTTTAGAGGCTAAAGTGAAATTAAGGGACTAGAGGAAGGCATATAGTGAAGTGAAAGCCCAACCTAACAAATTTTATTTTAAGTTGGCACCGGTAACAAATCATGCTTGAAGCGTCCCAAATAAAACCTCAATTAAAATAACAAGAAATCACCATATAAACTTATAAGAGTTACAAGTATGTATAAGATGTATAGATTTGGTGTTGTATATATTTTTTATTTTACCGGTTTTAATGAAAACTTATAACTTTTTTTATAACAATATGAAATATTTGCCATTTATACCCCAATATTCTATAGACATAATATAAGAGTAGAATAATACATAAAATAGAGGCAAGCATACAATCTTCTATGCACCTAATAAAATCTTAAATTGATGTTCATATTAATGTGAAACGTGTGAAAAATTTTTAAAAAGTTTTGAAGGCAATAATTACTTGTTTGTTTCGTAAAGTCTATATAAAATTTTTGTGGTATACTAAAGTAAGAGAAACTTAAAAATTTAAAAAGAAATGAAAATTTTTAAAATTGCCTAAACTTTAATATATAGGATATGAAATGAAAGTAATAATCACGTTCTTTGTGAGAAATTAACAAGAATAAAGAGAAAATTACAAAATAACTTTCGTGAATAATCAATTTTTAGCACATTGAGTTTGAATAAGGTTGAAGATGCACGGAACATGCGAGCACATTATGCAACATTCATATAGACTTTGAAAGAGCTTTAGGTTATGGCACTATTAAGGTAACGTGACTGAACTGTTAGCTGCTATACTAAAAATTGATGGCCGTATAAGAAACTATATAGAGCAAGGAATAGCTAAAATCAGAAGTGTGTTTGAAAGGTTATGGCCAGTATAAAAACCAACACAATTAGCGCATGTTACAAAAGAGAATATTCTTGTATCAAATCCGTGTTGCTGTATGAAATGGCTTTAAAACATAATTTTGCTCTCTGATTATTTTATTCGCCAATTATTTAGGTAAATGAAAAGTGAATTTCGAACTTAAAGTGTAATATTGAATTTATCACAAATTGCACCTATTTGAACTCTTGTTTGATTTTATTTTAAAAATTTTGAATGTCAAGGATATGCTATAAAACTTTTTGAAAATAACACCCTCATTTAATTGAAATATTCAATTTTTTCAATAAAAATTGCAGCTTTCTAATAGAAATTTTGTATTTGTGAATATTTCCAAAAAAATTCAAAAGTATTTTTTTTCTGTCCTTTCATCTGAGAAAAATATTTGAAAATTTTAATAAAAAAAATCAAAAATATAAAAATAAAAATTTTGGTAACATTTTATTCTTTGACAAATTTACTGTATGTATGTAGGTATGTACAAAAGAAAAAAACTATTTGAAAATGTGAACCCTTTCTTTATTATTTGGGATTGACTTACGCACATAAAATAGTCAATATTTTGACGTCTGATCTATGAAATAAAAAAAAAAGAACAAAATAAAAACAGTATAGAATTTCAAGGGCATTATTCGCCTTTAATATTTTTTTTTTTAAATCAATGATATTTGTTTTTGTTTGTTTTATACGGTCGGGTATACAAATAACTTTCAAGAATATAAAAAGGACCCCTTTAATATCTATTCTTATAAATATGAATTCGTTTGTATGTATAGATATATGAATATACATTTATGATAAAAGTTAAAAGAAGAAGAGCATAAAAGCTTTTAATTCAACACGCCCTTGAAATTTTGAAAATATTTCAAATTTCTACAATGTGTATGCAGTATGTATATAAAAGTATATTGAATATAAAATTTTTACCCAAAAGTAGAAAAAGGATTTTCAAAAATTTAATTCATATTCAAAAAGGATATTTTGTTAAAATATATTCACTGTATGTATGTAGGTATTTTCTTCATATAAATTTACTTGTAGGCATATAAACAAGGGTTCTTAAAAGGATATTCTCGTTGGAAATGCAAAAACTATTCCAAAAGTTTAATTTGTAAACCAAAATTCTTGTTATCCATTCTTGAATATTTATATAACAAATTAGAAATACATAAATATTTTACTGCCTATATTATAATATGACGATTTGTTCAGTTTTCAGATTTTATAAAATTTAAAATGATCAATATATTATATAAGTTGCATTTGAATGAATGTTAAAGATATCACATAATCACCAAGCAAGGACAGAGACCTCTCAATTGCGACCAAATTAGTTGAAAGACACTGCTGGGTTAGGATAATTCAACATCAAATTGCTCAGAGTAGACTCTTCCACTTAACTTGCAATTAATTTTTAATCCATGTATATAAAAATGGAAGGATCCGGGTCTGACACCATCGAATGAGAGCACAGGAGGAACAAAACAAATTGAACGCACCACGCGGTCCCGCTCTGGAAGAATGAAAGCATGCCCTATGGTGGAACACAACCAACATGATGCGACTTCCAAACGTAATGGTGATCCCTATCTAACTCGGCAATTATCTGCCGAGTTAGTATATCTAATAGCAACAGATTAAAAAGAATCTCAAAACCCCGAGTAGGGCGGAACGCAACACCCTACTAAAACATACAATTACTATTCTCTGAATTTTGCTTACCAATTTGAGGTTTGAAGTTATTCGGAGCTCTGACCTATAAAACCACTACACTGTACATCTGAATCGGTCTCCCCACTGTGGTTTATAGCCAATAAAGCATGTTTGGTTTCAGTCCCCAACCCTAGATTGTTTTCTTACATGAGTAAAGTGCAATAGTTGCTTCCATTACTTTTTTTCATAATGTTGGACTTTCAATCAAGATTTGAATCAGGAATTAGACCGAGGAGCCAAACCTACCTGCAAATTTTGTTGAGTTTTGGAGGAGTTATGCTTGACGTCTTCTATCTCGTGCTAAAAATTACTAGTTTCGTTTTTTGTGAGTTGATAGCCAGCCCACTGCCCAGTCAGAAACGAGGTTAAGAAGTGTTTTAAACAATTTAAAATTTTATAGTCAATATTATAAATATTAAGTACCTTATGTTTTACTTTAAGTGTTGTCTTCAATACCGGCTGCTGTTAAAATCTACATTTTAAAATCTGAAAGAGTTTAATTTGATTTTATTTGATTTTACATTTAAAATTTTTTTAGGTTTCAAAGTTAAAAGAATTAATTGAACAAGTAAAATTTTTCTAAGAAAAAGGCTTTTAATTTTTGTTTTTTTTTATTTTTATTTATTTGTTGTTTGAGCACACAAAATCATGACCTTTTAAATTCCTAAAAAATTCATTTTATTTTGCCTTTATTTTGCAAGAGCAAAAAATCTAATTCTGGTTTGATGACTTTAAGGTTCTAATAGCTTAGATAAATTCAGCAAATAACTACTATTGAAAAAATTCATTTTGTTTTAATTAAAAAGAAAAATTATTGTTATACATAGATTCGGGAAATTGGCAGTCTTTATGACGTACTTTTTCAACTTATCAATGTAATTATGGTGCGAAGTTTATCTAAATGAAATGTAAATTTATCTTGTCCTGGAGAACTGTAAATTTATCTTGTACGTTCAATGGAATTTGAACTTGTCCACCTTACAAATGGAATAAACGAATTTTCCTGTTACTTATGTTCATATTTTTGTGTAGGTTAAAAGAGATTTAAGAATTTTATAACAATTTCTTAGTAATTTTAAAATTTTTAGAATTATTAAAAATTGCTTAATTTTTACCTAAATGCCCACGTTTTACAGAGTTATTTTTTTAACTAATTACTTTTAATGATGTGCTTGAATTCAAAAATTTATTGGGAAAAAAAAACTGACATTAACGTTTTAGTTATACAAATACAATATAGGGGTATGTAGACCGTTCAATATAATTTTCTACAAATAATGAAAGAAATTATACAAACTTACCAGGATATTAAGTACATTTCATTATAATAAGGTGGTGTATTGAATGCGATTGACTTAAATGGAACGAATACGGACGGTATGATTGTTCACTTGTATAAAATCGATCCTACTCCATATATGGAAGCGAAATATGGCATGCAAATGAAGTAGACACATAAAAAAATTTAAATTGTAATTATTGGCTAGCAACTCACGTTTCTTCTCAACAGCTCGTTTTTAAAAAGTTTTCAAATTAAGAAATCATTTAAAGTTAGTAAATAAACCGAATTTTTTTTCGTCATCTTCGATATTCCATCTTTAGATTAAAAAATTAGTGATATGGGATTATTTTTGAAAAATTTATTCTTATACTTTAAAATTCACTTTATGATTTTCTTATAATGTTGGGCGAGAATTTAATTAAATTTCCGGACGAAAAATTTATATAAAAAGTTCAAGATTACTTTTCGTATTAAATGCCATATAATGTATATGTATATGTATTTATGTAGACATTTAGTCAAGAAAAAAATGAGATTTTGACTCAATATACTTCGTAAACTCTTCCACATCATTGATCTCTTTGATTCTTTACAAAATTTATATAACATATATTTGTGGAATTTAATGATTGTGTCACAACTAAGGCAATTGAATACGATTAATATATTTAATTTATAAAGGTGGTATGTCTTTAAGAACTTCATATTTTAATTTGACAATAATTAAAACTGTTAACCTCTTTATACTTAATTCAGTTTATTTTGACCCGGCTCTCATAACAACTACTTGTCTCTCCACGAATATGTCAAATTTATTTAAAATTACTATTGACAAGGCAGCAGAATTATTTAAAAAGAAATTTTTTGTTGGACCAAGTAAACAGGAATGGTTCAATAACGAATTAAAAGAATTAAACGAAAATAAAATAGAAGCTTATAATCGTGCAGCAATATCTAATGACGAAACCTTATGGTCAATTTATAAAAATATTAGAAACGAGTATAACTTTAAGATAAAAACAACAAAAAAACAATTTATTGAATATAAATTAGAAAACTGCGGTGGTAATTCTAAGGAAATGTGGAAAAATATTAAGAAATATGTAACGAAACCTTCTAACAATGAATCAATTGACGAATTAAAAATAAATAATACTCTAATAAGTGGGTCAACTAATATAGCGAATGAATTAAATGCATTCTTTATAGACAGTATTAAAAATATAGCTGATAGTATTAATATAGTGCAATACCAAAATTTAATAGCCGTAAGTAATTATAGATTTAAGTTTCATAAGATAAATAAGCAGGAATTGTATGTGATTATTCGTAAAATGAATACCAAAAAAGACTTTCTGGGTTTCGATACTAAAATAATTCTTAATTCATATGATATATTTGGTGATGCCCTGGTACATATTGTCAACCAGTCTATGAGAAGCGGTACTTTCTCATTAACATGGAAAGAATCTGTCGTCAGGCCAATTCCAAAGAAGCAGCGTCCGAAAGAACCAACTGATTTGAGGCCAATCAATATGATGCCCTTATATGAAAAAATATTAGAAAAAGTGATTAGTACACAACTTGAAAAATACCTTGAAGAATACAATATCAGAAGAATATATGTGATAAACGGAGTGGTTTCAGAGGAAAACATTCCTTTGAAACGGCTTTAAATTTAGTCCTATATGATTGGAAAAGGGCTAAAGAGAATAATTTAGTGATTTGTGCAATATTTTTAGATTTTAGAAGAGCATTCGAAACTGTTGATAGAGAAATTCTGCTGATGAAATTTGAAAAATATGGAGTTCAAGGTAATGAGCTAAGTTGGTTTAAAAGTTATTTCAAATGTAGAAAGCAAAAAACAATAATTGACGACAGATTATCTGAATCAAAATTTTTTAGCAATGGAGTTCCTCAAGGTGCAATATTAGGAGTATTAAGTTTTTTATTACATATTAATGACATAAAATTGTGTATAAAGTCCTGTAAAATTGTCCTGTTTGCAGATGATGCACTTATTTATGTTGTTGACCGAAGTTTGGATGTATGTTGTAGTAAAGTAAAGGACGATCTGAATAATGTATTTTAATGGTTGTGTATGAACAAACTTAAATTAAATTTTGACAAAACCAAATGTATGGTAATAAATGATAGAACTGGTGGCGTAGTTGATATTCGTATACGTAATTGTCCAATAGAGAAAGTAAGCTCTATTAAGTATTTAGGAGTAATAATTGATGACAAATTGAATTTGGACAAGCATGCTGATTACATAGCATCCAAAATTGCGAAAAAGATTGGTTACTTGGGAAGACTGAGGAACCAGATAACAGAAAAATGTGCGAAAACCATATGTAATTCAACAATTTTGCCTCATTTAGATTATTGTTCGTCTATATTGTTTCTTTGTGGTGAAAGTAAAAAAGAGCGTTTACAAATCTTACAAAATAAAGCAATGCGCATTCAAAGTATGCTAAGAATTCAAAGTATGCTAAGTGAAATTAAGTGGATGTCAGTTCGTCAGCGTCTAAACTTCAATGTATTAGTGTTTGTGTTTAAGATGAAATATAATTTATTGCCGCAATATTTATGTCATTGTCTTAATTATGTTTTTGAGTCAACAAGCTACAATCTGAGATCATCGAACATGTTTAGATTACCATTGTTTCGTCGACAAAATACACAAAACAATCTATTTTATAAAGGGCTTCAACTGTTTAACAACTTACCGATCGTCATAACAAATGAAACGTCTATTACAAAATTCAAAAACCTGTTGATTAAATATTTAACGTCAAATGATGAAATGTAATTTGATTTTTGCATATTATACATATATACATGTACATATATAATATTTTATTATTGCTTTTTTATATTATTTACTTTTAAAAAATTATATAAATTTTGATTATTTTAATTATACATATTATTATTTATTAGAGTCATTTTAGTTCTCAAATTCAGATTTTATTTGTTTATTTAAATTTTCAAAGTACAACAAATTTAAAATGTATTCAAATTCATAATTGATTTTTTGAAATAGTATTTATACTAATAAAAAATAAAAAAAAAAAAATCCTACAAACCGGTTAGCTCTAGCCCTTTTCTGAAGATATTCAGCTGTTAGCCTTACAGTAATCGATTTTACGTACGATATGGCTGCTTTTAAAGCCGACTTGCACGGCAGATTTTCGATTACAGGCACGTACCACTAGTATTATGCAGTTGCTTTGAATAAGTGAAATATTTCCCATTAACTAAAATTTGTGTTATGGCCCTTGTTTCTTTTACATCATGTAAGCAAGCTGTTATAAGTATTATAGACCATTTCTTTCCTTATTGCATCCACATAACAGGAAATAAGATTTTTAGAAACCTTTTTTGTTTATAAATCAATTAAAAAATCAACTAAGGGTACAGCGAGTAATTATTAAAATAGAATTTTTTTAACAAAATTTTTTTAAGGATTTATTAATTTAATAGAATAGACCCTTTAAGAAATAATGATTTTTAAAAAGAATTTTGGATATTCTAGTACATTATTACAATATAAATTTACTGATATATATTGGAGATGATTACCGCTCTTACTAAAAGATAATCCTAAAATATACTTCTTATAATTATAAGTTTAATTTTTCTTTCTAAACACAATGTATAGGGTTATTTCGGAAAATGATCATAGAAATGGCGAAATCAGAAACCTGAATCCTCGTATGTATTTATAAATATTAATTTTCCTTAATTAGTTATGGTGATTTAAGTCAAAAAAATTTATTGAATCAATACTATGAACGAGAATGCTCAAGAAAATTGTAGAATTTGTTCATATTAGTAATATTTATCAAGGTGATTTTCTACTACTTGATTTAACACGTGGTAAAATCATAGTTACAGTAATAGCTGGTATTATGTAAATTGTCTTGGCATGAAAATGGTATTACGCTAAATATACCCCTATATGTATATTTTTGCGTATTAGTGAACCTAACCTTTTGCTTTCAAGTTATCTTGAAGTTTTTTTCTACAAAAAAAAATTTTTGTGCCAGTGGGAATAGTTTTCGTTCTATTCAATTTTCTTGTCATGTATAATACTAGGTGTATACTCTCCAAATTACTATATTACATACTTGTATACACTACTAAATAATATAGAGCCCAATGCTGATAATCAAGTCAGAAATGCATATCTATACAATATACAATTATTATAAGAATTTTCATGAAAAACTTTGACACAATTTCTGCCATTCTATTTTATCTTACTATATAAAAGTTCACAATGAGTTTAAATAGAATCTGAAAAACTTGTTATATTATAAAATAATATCATGTGGTAAATATTGTTAAAGTTAATAGAAAGTTAGATAGCAAAATTTTATATAAGTAAGTAAGGTTCATCGATTTATTTGTGGTAGTTTGTACTTTCACGTATATTATGAATACATAGATATTGATATTAAGCTTTGGAAGGTATTTTACTGTATACTTTGATAATTGAAAATTCGATATTTAGTGGTGGAACTTATGTAGATATTATATAAACATGTTGGAATAAGAACTAGAAACATTTTCGTTTAGTACTTGTAATAGCAGCACATTTTGGTTTTAGTAGATTTGATTAATTTAAGTTGTTTTTTTAGTACTATGAAACATAATTTTGTTGCATACTTTTAGGATGAAAAAAAGGAAAAGAAGAGCAACAGAGAGATATTATATGGTTTGACAGTTGCTTTAGATTAATAATGAGTACATCTTGCCGTAAACACCGGGTTCAGGGTAATGATTCAATTCCATAGTCATTTTGTCATAATAGAGATTGCATACTTCATTTTACCATAGCTATTTTACTACTTTTGCGAAATTTAAAGATTGTAACAGAGCATGTGCGAACAGACGGACATAGTGGAAGTAATAAGCAATATTTTTTATCAATTTTCTTGGAAATGTGCTATAGTAGAAAATTAATATCTTGAAAATTCTTATAGAGAATTCTTATAGAGAATTATAAAACGATTATAAATACAAGTAATTTTTGATAAATATTGTTATTGAATTAATAATAAAAGTTGTGTGTGTAGGTAATTTCTCTTCTAAGAGTTGTTTAATGTTTTAAATTTATTTTTAAAGAGTTTTTGTTTCGATAATGTCGGATGATAATTTTACAATATTTTATTCAAAAGAAAACTTTATTATACTTTTTAAGGGAATAATTAGGTTTATCAGGGTTTTTATGTTTTTTATAATAGGCAGGCTTTCAAAATAAAACTTTAATATTTTAGTCAAATAATGGAATCAAGTGAAGTAACAACTTATTTTTAAATCAATAATATTTGCGTTCCATTTATAATTTTAACTATTCTCCTAATCTTGTGTGCGTAGTTTGTAAATAAAACGGTGTCTTTCGGTATATGAGTAAAACATAATCTTAATTTTTTTTTCGTATAGTTTCTTACCGACCGCATTGCACTGGTTTTTACCGACTTGTTTTTATCGTTTAAATCTCAATTCAATAGAAAAAGATATAAATATCAAAGAATGAGCACGGCGGTTTCGTCACCGTCCCGACAAATCAGTACTGGGAGGAGCCCGATTTTCCCAGCCTATGCAGATCATACTCCATTGGGCAATGCCCATTGAAGAAATTTGCAGTAGCACGAATCCGGTTTCCATTCATTCCCAATAACACTGCGGTGAACTTTCCCGAGCATGATAGAAGAAACACCTTCGTAATATGACGATACCCCTTCGTGTACTGCAAGTGACGGCCGCATTCCGCCGCGAGCAGGCCGGCAACAATATAATTTGAACAATAAATATTTTAATATTATTAAATTTGTAGTTTATTTAACAAAAAATCGAAGTAAGTCACTCTTTCCAAATACTTATGGTTACAATTTTCTATTTACGTCAATTTCGGAATATTGTTTACTTGTAATTATTTTTAAGTAATTTATATTTATTGAACGTAAAAAAAGTTTACATAACAAAGAATTTTTTCCGAATCATCGTTCAGCAAGGTTCTGGTTTTAACGGAAAATCTAAAATTAATAAATTAATAATAAAACAAAAGTTATTAAGAAAATGTCTAAAATCTCTTATTATTTAATACTAAACAAATGTATGTGTAAAAAACAACAAAAAAAATTTTAAAATATGAAATTTTTATGGAAAATTTTAATTACAATAAAATTTTATTGTCAATATCCTGAAAATTGCTAATGGATTGGTTATTTCAATTTTCACTTACAAAAAAAAATTTATGAAAACTAAGAGCCATTCATTGAGTTTTTGAAAATTACTTGTTTTTTTATTAAAAATTCCAGATAATAATTGAAAAATTTTTTTTTTCCTATTAAGTCGAAATTTCATTTTAGTGGTTTTTGGACATACATACATACATAATAAATGTTTACCCTTTGTTTTCTCGGTCACATTCATCGCAAAGCTCAAAATAAATTTTTCTATTAAAATCTAACTAAATTTAGAAGATTTTAGAGAAATTTTTTATTTCTATAGCAGTTTTTCATTGCTTGGATTTCATCAAACTGAAAACGGTATTTACAAAATAACGCATCAAGTGAAAGAATATGATATATATATATAACATAAAATCGGTTAGACAACAAACAAACATCAAACAGAGCGCATATCAAATAATACGTGTGCTTTTGCACTCAAACATGACACTGACCTTGGAAACATGCGGTATACGCCGACAATATAGAAAGAAATGCTAATGTGTTTAGAAACATTGAGCCAGGGCGAGTGCAATAGAGCTCGATGATTGCAATTACAAAAAATATTAGGAGAATTATTGACAATTAAATCAAATGCATACTAGCTAACCTCGAATTAAATCGAATTAAAATCTTACATAACTGTCATGTATCCTGTATACTTACCATAAAATTTTTCAAACTGATTTTGTAATATCTTACAATTAATTTATATTAATCGAACTAATTACATATTCATTTCTGGATACTTTCTTAATTATTTTAACTGATGAATAACAAGCTTTGTATATAATACGCTGAGGTGATTAATGTAATGAAATAATAAGTAAAAGCATGAAATAATAAA